TGCTGAGCTTCCAAGCTGAACAGTTATTGGACTCTGAACCATGTGGTCTGTCTTCGGTGCATACAGCTTGTTACTGAAGTTGATTCATTCTCTGATGTCTGCATGCAATTTTCTCCCACAGCCACACGAGCTCTTCCATGAAACAGTCAGAAGCCTCAGTTCTGACAGTGGCAGATTTGGCTGACCTTTTTACAGAGGAAACTGAAGAACTTGAGTAAAAACATTGGTTTGGCCTAATGAAATCAGAAAGTACCTGACCTAATAAGCACCGGTATATAATCCACTTGATCTGTCATTCCTGTAAACATCATCTAACATTTGTCTGTAACAGAGCTATTGGAAATTGAAAAGTCTTAATTGTTACTGTTTTACTCTGTGGTGAAGTTCTTAGCAGCACACACTTCTGATAGCACTGGAGAAAACTTGCACTTTGCACATTATACAAAAACATGGATTTTATTCCCAAAGAGCATTTGAGCTGGATGCTAAAACTAAGATCTTGGACCCTTGGTTGAGAGGAATTTTACCATTAGGTTTGCTTGGCTAGTAGCTCACTCTGACAGCAAAACTGTGTGGGTGGTTGGGTGGGAAAGGGGAAGCAGAAAAACACAAATCTAATTTTTTTTACTGTACAAAGAATTGTTAGAAAGAATGACTGTAAATTAATGTTCTCCTAGAAAGGGCTTGTTAGCATTTAATGCAGAGTTACTGAACGTCTTATTGGTAACAATTTAAATGACTAATCTTTACTAATAATTTGGATATTTGTATTAGGCTTTTAGATATTCATAAAGACTTGTGACAGTTAAAAATTTCATTGTTAATGCTTACTCACTGCAAAATGATAATTAAATTATGCTTTTTGTATGTGTGTTGGTCTGGTAATCAGTTAAATACTTGAACCTACTGTACATGTTTTCACTTATTCTTGAAGCCATGACTAATTTAATGCTTTGTTTAAAAAAAAGAAAGTAATGCATTTGTTACAGAATTTTTAAAAAATTAATTGGTTAAGCTGCTGATCAGTTTATAATCATTTGATGTTTGTGTACATTTTCTCACCCTGATTTCTTTGTCTAATTCTTCCCCTTAAAGATGCAGCAATCTAAATATTCAAAATAGATGAGATTAAGGTAGGCAGTCTAATTATTACGTACCTAGTCTAAGTTAGATAATCAGTGGAGAGCGATGAACTCTTGTGAAACTTCATCCTTAGATACGCGAGATCACTCTACCCCATCTCTATTGACAGTAGAGGGTTTAGAAAACAAATCTAGGCTAACTTTTAGACTGCTGAAAGTAGGCAAGATAAATTTTAAGCCTTTTGGCATAGGTTATGGAATACCCATTTTCTTAACACCATTTCTGAAGGTATTACAGAAGAAAGCTCAGTTATGTAGTTGATGTTAGACACAATTTTGTGTTTAGAGACTGGGCAAATGTATATGCATAAGCAACAGGCTACTTCCCTCAAATTACATTATTTACTGTTTCAGTAGACAGTGTTTTTTGTATATTTTAGAAATCTTACTTGAGGTTGAAATTAAAACGAGTCCTTTAAGAAATATAATCTTAGAATTTTTACTCTAATCATGTCTGCTAAATAGATTTGCTATATAGTTATTGAGCTTCTTGAGTTCTGTTTTCAGCATACTACATTTGAGTTGCACCGTTTGGGTATTAAGCCTATCCGCATGGCAGACAAGTCTTCTGCTGCTCACAGCAAATGTGAATAGAATTTACATGAATAATATTGTATCAAGAAGTGGGGGTTTTTTGGCATTTATAGTCTGTTGTCCTTCTGGACTGGTTAGATACTTTGTTCTAAAGACTATTTGAGTAAATTTACAGACAATGTGTCTTTATTCCCATATTTGTAATATGTATTAGTCTTATTTATACATTTTGTTTTGGAGATTACTGATTTTTTGCAGATTACTGTTTGCAGCAAGGGAAATAGAATTGATAGTACACTTTTCTAAAAATCAGATTGATCAAACAGTTTGCACAGAGACTGTGACATCTCCATCCTTGAATATACTGGGAACTCAAATGACCCTGAGCAACCTGATCCAGCTTCAAAGTTGGCCCTATTATGAGTGGTTTGTTGGAGCAGATGACCTCCATGGATCCCTTCCAGCCTAAATTATTCTGCAGTGTACTGGAGATCACGCTGTACAGACACTCCAGGAACTCTGAGGGCAGCAACATTCCAGTTTCCGCATCGTCCTTAGAGAATTTCGATATTGTACAACATAATGTGACTGAACAAGGAGGTGCTGTTCACTCTCCCATTTTAAATAACTAGATGTGGGAATAACAGTTGTCAGTGAATGTGAAGACAGAGAAGCAAACTGAAAAATATCTGCTATGAGAGGTTTCCCAAGCTCTGCAAGTTTTTGGCTTATTTATATAAAGATGGTGGTTTCATTGTTTATTTACAAAAATGTGGCTTTTGGATTCATAACTGAAAGCATAGCTTCTCATCAAGCAGTGCATGAGACTTTAGTCCTGACTTATTTTTTTTTTTGCGCTCACATAACAGCATGGAATGCCAGAGATCTGGTTCTGGGTGCTCCTCCAACTGGCCTGGAGTGCCAGGACCTAGAGCTCTGGAGGTATAACATTAAAATGTGTACACTAGTTGTTTTAAAGCACTTCTTGAAATTGGAAGGTTGAACCATTGGAATATATAGCCTGTGTCAGTAGTAAAATGGGTTGTTCAAGTTTCACATAATATTAAGTACAGCGACTAAATTTAAAGAATTGTTTTGAAAAAGAAACCAAACTGTAATTTAAAACTTCTTGCCATTCTTTGCAACATTTAGTTTCTTTGACAAAGGTTTTCTTAGTTTCTTTGACAAAGGTTTTCTTTCAGACATCTTAAGACACCTCATGGGGTGAACTTTCTTTTTTTTTCTTTTTTTTCTTTTTTTTCTTTTTTTTCTTTTTTTTCTTTTTTTTCTTTTTTTCTTTTTTTTTCTTTTTTTCTTTTCTTTTTTTTTCTTTTTTTTCTTTTTTTCTTTTTTTCTTTTTCCTGCTAAGGATGCAGCTCGTAAATCTGCAGAGCTTTTTCTCTTATCAAAGCACAGTAAGCCTGTTTTCATGGTGCTGCCATGATTTTGCTCTCTATCAGAACACTCTTTTGGAAGACAGTATCTTAGCTGAGAGCAAACTTTGCCTTATCGTAATAGTTCCAATGTACTCATAGAAATGGCATTTTCCACAGATGACAGAAATCTATAAATACTGACTGCAGTGTTTACATAATATTTGTGTGGACATACCCAGTCATGTACCAGATTCTCATGTGTTCTCCTGCTAAAACACGTAAACATGACCCGAGTTGACAGTATTGTTTATCCAGTGAAGTCAGTCCCTTTAAAAATGAGGCTCCAACTGATGCCAGAGAACTCAGTGCTGACCTTTCGTCTCTTTCAGTTCCATGACAAAAAATGTTGGGAGTTTTTTGACTGGAGTTGGTGAGAATTTCAGGACAGGTTTTTTTCCCTGTATATAGAAGTTCAGTGCCTTGTGGAACAGAGCTGTCGTCTTCTTTAGGTACCTGTAAAGGCTTGATGGAAATAGCAGACTTCCTTGAACCACACAATATGATAGTGTTGGAAACTAAGGAGTGGATTCCCTTATGGTGTTAAATTGAGCTCTGTGAATTTCACTGTGGATCTTTAAATGAGTTTGTAAGTTAAGGTCCTCTTTGCTCTCTAAATCAGTCTATGCCAGGAAAAGGTTTTCATCTTAACCTGTTAGGTAACTTTTTAGCATACCAATGAAAGTCCAGGATACACTACCATTTTCACACAAGTCAGATACTACAAAAGAATATTTACCTCAGTCTTCTCATGCATATTAAAGTTGCATATTAAGGAATGGACTTAACAGTTGATGATGCTTTTTGTGAGACAGGGCTTCCAAAACCACTTTTCTGCCAATGTCTGTAGATATATTCAAGTCGTCTGCCAGCAGAGTGCCCTCTACTTCAGAAGTAACTGTGCTTCAATACAAATGTGAGTAGGATCCTACAGAATTAAAAACAAGTAGTTGCTTCTGGTTAAAACCATACTTGGACATACTTCTTCCTGTAAGATTCTGCCTAGACTAGTGTCTGAGGACCAGTTAACAACCGTCTACCACTGTCTTTTCTGACACAAACAGTGCTGTCCTCTTTCCATCCCTTTTCGCAATCTTTATGACTACATTATATTTTCCAGGAGTCCCAGAATTATTTGTTTAATTAGCAACTGTGCTTCAGTTAAATTGGAGGGGAAGAAGCCTCTATTGATCAATCTTGCATTGACCAATGTAAGCAAAATTAACCTTGAAAGTTATTGCTCCCAAGGTAAGGAATTATCTAAGTTTCTAAAGGAAAATTTGTTTGTTTTTCTTTCTAGCTGTAAATGGAGCCTGTTTCTGAAGCTTAATCTAAAGACTTATGGTTAAAATCTGTCTGATAAGCTTTTCTATAGACTGAAAGGCTAGTTGCAAAGCCACTGTGCCTGTGCTTTTCTTCCTTTTTTGGTTGCCTGAAACAAGTAAGGTCTTTACCAGATTATATACTATAAACGTAGGTTAAAGGAATTTCATAATGGAGAAAAAAGGAGGTCCAAGACATCCTTGTTTCTCCCTCTCTGTCTGTCTGTGTGTCTCCCTTTTTTTGTGTCTGTCATCCTGTCCTACCCCCTCACCCTCCACCCACCCCCAGCTCGCTCAGTTTGTTACAAAGAATGTTTGCGTTTGGTCAGCAGAAGTAGAGTAAAAGAGTCATAATCCATAAAATGTCTACACTAAAACTGGTTTATTGTGTCAGAGGAAAAGTGTCGGGGGTAAAGGGAATTTTAGCTTGGTATAAATTATTGTGCCTGTAATGTCTTAATTTACCCCTGTTCTTCACCACAGTAGAAGCAGATGTTAACAGACTGAAACTCAGCTTTTAAATTTCTTGGTTTATATTGTACAGCTGACATATAAAAAGACCTGGTAATCTAATTACTGAGCAATCAGTGAGGCTTACAAGTTTTTAGTTGTAAGGTCTATAGGTTTCAGGTTCATAAAGTGCACCTGAACCACCATCACAAGTCCTGGTGCATCCACTGTCTTGTCTTCTCTTCTTCTTCAGAGGAGGAAAGAATAGATAACTATTGAATCACTGTAGTATTGAATTCAAGTCCCAAGTAGTCATTCTACATATTCTACAGTTATACACCATGTAAAGAGGACATTAGTTGAACTTGTAGCTTACAAATGTCGTTAAGGAATTAAGTCATGGGGGGGGGGGGGGGGGAAAGGTAAATGATGTAGGGTTTCTAAATACTAGAATAATTCTACTTAGAAAACTGGCACGTGAGATATCTGTAAACCTCTGGCTCAGTTTTCTTCTATATACAAGATGTCAGCCTTCCGGGGCTTAAATTCCATGTTCCTTTGTTTTGTGTATTTACAGATTTCACACAAGCAAGTGCCCAGCCCCATTCATTCAACTGGACACATACCAAATTGTATCAGTTTAGGAACAGATGTCATCATTTCCATGATGTAACATCTCTTGGTTTGATAGCAACCTTCACATCAGGTAGAAACTACCTTTCCAAATTCTACCAAGTGTCAGGTCTGACAGCTTACACATTGTTAGCGTAGGCTGGCTTAGATAGTTGTGGGGTTCTTACGCCACTTTTTCTCCTGTCTTATGGGGGCTAGTGAGCTAGCAGGAT